TTTCCTCCATCCACCGTCGTAGTAGTGGTGGTGGTGGTAGTAGTAGTAGTAGTAGTAGTAGTAGTAGTATTAGTAGCAGTACTAGTAGTAGCAGGAGTAGTAGTAGTAGTCGTCGTCGTAGTCGTAGGAGTAGGAGTAATAGTGATGATAGTAATAATCATCATCGTCATCATATTCATCATAACAATAAAAGTACCAATAGTAGCATTAGTAAACATGCATAGCTTATGACTACTCCTGAGGGCTCGCGGCCGAAAAGTTCCGATTCAGAACCCTTGAGAGCCAGCAAAGAATTTAGGAGCTTGATCTTCGGGCTCACCGGTCAGCTTACCAGCTCAGGGCTTCAGATCCTTAGGTGGAGTCCACTAGGTTTGGAAGCTTGTGTCCTGAGGTGAACTGTCGGGGGGGGTGGGAAGCTGCACTGAAGCTTCAAGCCTAAGTATGACTTTCCTTTCGATGGTCATGACCACGACGATGCTGAGAATAATGGATATGATAGTGATGCTGAGGATGATCTTGGTTGTCATGCCGGTGATGATGCTGATGCTGCAGAAGGTGCTATCCGTCATCGCTAGCAGTGTTGCTGGCATCATCGCTACACGCACCATTCACTCGCACTAGCACTAGCCAGCATTGCATGGAGATCACGGCCGTCATGATGATACGCAAGACCGGGATGAAGGAGATGATGCTCAGGACGATCGTGCTCAAGGCCCCAGAAGACAAGCCATCGTGGAACCTTGAAAGCTGAGCCCTCCACCCGAAGCAGACTCTACGATGTGATCCCGGTTACCTGAAACCTTCAATTGGCTCGAAACTCGACATTCCCGAAATCCCGATCAACGCCAAGAGACGTAACGAGATTCTAGCTCTTAAATTCCAGCCCGAACTCCAGGCCGACAACCTCAAGCCCGAATGACCTCCATGCTTAAGATACACGAATCCCCCAGCCTCGCCATAGGCGTAGACATCCGCCTTGTCCACATACTGCGCGATATGCTCGGGCCGCATGTGCCTTCAAAGGGTAGGAGCCATGGGGCGCAGTTCGCGGGTCTAGGGCTTAGGGTCCACAGAGATAGCCCCCTTCGACCCTTACATTACAAATACCACAAACTTGGTACGAAATCCTGACGCTCTCACACTCCAAGGCTTTCTTTAAACTTTAAACCAGTCTGCACTCTACACCCACAAGACCAACAGCCCAACCGGAAATCCCTCCGCTCGCAAACTCGCGCATCGAAAAACGGAAACCCGGACCCTGCTCCCGATGCAGAGAACCCCAAAGTAGCAGGTTCATGAAGGATATCCCAACATCCCACGACCAAGACACGAAACTGACGGGCCAGGCTGCGTTGCCTTCAAACCGTCGACCTTGAACCCCAATCCCTCAAACCCCCATGCCCGTGATGCCGGACGAATCCTGTCAAAAACCCCTCCCTCTGCATCTGATGGGCTTGGCTGCGTCGAAGCGGAAGCCCGAGACGCCACAGCTCTTCCTGAGGTGGGTCGATCAATGCGAGGGCAATAGAGGTAGTGGTGGTGGTAGTAGTAGTAGTAGTAGTAGCAGTAGCAGTAATAATAATAATAATAATGACAAAAAATAATGATAATAATAATAATAATAATACTAATCATAATATTAATAATAATAATAATAATAATAGCAGTAGCAGCAGTAACCCTAAACCCTAAACCCTAAACCGGTCGTCGCCGAACTTCCTAGCCATGGCAAGTCGCAGCTTCTCCATGTGGCTCGAGTGCACGGAGACGACCTTCGCCGAGCCGCCCTGGCGGCCATGCTGCTACAGGGTTTAGGGTTTAGGGTTTAGGGTTTAGTAAGGGATTCGGAGAGTTTTGGGGGTTTAGGGGTTTGGGGGTTTAGGGTTTAGGGGTTTAGGGTTTAGGGGTTTTGGGGGGGTGGGGGTTTAGGATTTGGGGGCCTAGGGGCCTGGGGGTTTCTGCATCCTTCGGGGTTTTGCGGCTT